AAATTGGAATGAACAAAATATAACCATTAAACCAGGGCGTTGGGAAGGAGTGGGACTCCACGTGGATAAGACGAATTTCTCTGTGCTGATACCCAGTCGGGAAACTGCTCTCGGCTTGACTGGGGAAAATATATTTTAGCTTTAAATGTTAAAGTACGAGTCTGTTTCTCACATATTTCAACAAAATGTAATTGATACAGAGCAATGCATGTGTAAATAACTTCTGTATTATAAATGTATGTTCCCATCATCATAATTACTGTTCATGGCTAAAGCTAAACTAAAAAAATCAAGGAGTCCATCACTAACCAAATTAATTTACACACGTTCTTCAAATCAATTCCTATAATGGTGTAATGCTAAGCTTACAAAACAAAACTTTTAAGTCTTATAATATATTTTGACAAACAGGGCTGTTTTGGATTTGAATTATACGTTTACTTTGCCTTGTTCATCATAGCTGGGGCCATGGCCATTTGTTTAAAGGAGGAAACATTCCATAAGAGAATGGGTCAGTGGGTAGCATCATGTCATATCACGTGAACATTCCCATTAAGGCGTCAACAGTGTTACTGATAGGACCACACCTAGCACTCCTCTTCCTTCCTTCTGCTAGATCTGGAAAATGTTGCAAAGTCAGAACCCCACCTCAAAAATCTGCTCTTACAATATCCCACAATTTGGCTTCAGAGTATAGCTTCTTGCCATATTTGAATAAGACAACATTCTGAGATGTCGAAAAGCATTTGTCCCACGAGGTGGGTCTATTTTACAAAAATAAATATTTGCATTTTTCAGTGAATACGTGTTACTTTGGAGAATGGTGTGTGCCATGAACTGTGTAGTACATGAGCTTTGTTCATTGGGCCAAGTATATGCCCATCCCCCGAAGAACACAAGCTGAAGTGCATGCAGAAAATAACTTTGAGAGACGCATGCTTGGAATTACATTAAGAGACAGAAAGAGGAACACATGGATTACATAACATATGCATGTTTTTGACATCATTCAAACTGTGAAGAAAAGTAAGTGGGCTGGGACAAGATTCGTCGCTTTAAGGGATGATGGCTGATGGTCAAGAGGAATGATGGAGTGGCTTTTAAGAAATAGGACGCATCTGTGATGACCTACAATAAGGTGGCCACCTATCCAGGGGATGGGCATCTGTGTTTTGATTTCTACCACGATCTGGTGGTAATGTCTTGAACTTCATTACAGTGTATGCAATATTAACCTATATACTTTATCTATTTTTCGTATTATTTGTTTTGCCTTCCTTTCCTAAACAGCTAGTCCCCGATTAACGCGAGTCCGTTCAAGCACGAATCCGTTTTTTATACGATGTACAAAGTGGGGGACAGACACCGATTAACGCGCTCGATTTCACGCGATTTCAGTGGAATATTCCAGAAGCGAAATTTTCTGCCACGGTCCCACGTAGAGCAACAGTGCCCAAGCGTTAGAAGGCAGCACGAGCACCGTGGGCAGTGGGCAGCAGCAGCAGTGGGCAGCAGCAGCAGCAGCGAGCCACCTCACTCAGTCTTTGTTCCGCCTCGTGCTAGCTCAGACGCGTTGCGCGTTTAATCTCACAAGTATATACCTTTGCACTTTAATATAAAAAAAATTGTATATTCATAATTCGTGGTATGGATAAGAAGCATGGTGGTGATGCTTCTAGCGGTGGTCCAAGTAAGGAAAGTCGTAACATTAGAGCAAACATTTGATGTGATTAAGCGCTATGAGAACGAGTGCACACGTGATATTGTCCGTGCTTGAACATTCTAAATGTGTTATTTATGTAAAAAAAAAGTGTTAGAAGTTGTTGAAAGTGTAAGAAAATCGTATCGGTGAAATCCACCCCCTCTGCACTTATCCATTTTCTAAACATTTATTATCTCTGTCTCTCCACTGCACCCATTACAGCTCATATACGCAGACTGCAGTATTGTTTCCTTTAGGTTACCTTTATAATTGTTTATTTTATTTTTAAATGTTATTCATGCATGACATATACATTAAAAGGCAACAATAAAAAGCATTAACCAAAATATAGTCCGATTAAATGCGTAATAATTATACATTTCTCGATCGAGTTGGCAGTTTGGAATGCAACCCCACCCATTTACATTATTTCTTACGGGAAATTTGTGTTAGATTTACACGATTTCACCTTTCACGAAGATTTTCAAGAATGCATCTCACATGTCAATCAGGGACTATCTTTACTTTGCATTCGGATTGTTTTTTGTATTGTTTGTTGTTGTAACTTTTTAACCCTCCCCAACTGAACATCGGTGAAAAAGAGCTTCACAACTCATCAGGTTTCTCCAACATAAAGATTATGATGTATGCTAGTATACCACACAGTTGTGATAGACTGAGGCCAACTGAGAAATGTGTCCACGTTTGGTCTGTGGAATAGGTGGTAAATATAACCTACACCGAGAAGATGTACACCAGCTGATAGCATCAGCTGGTGTACAGGAGCTAAGTGTATTTATTATACATGGCAGGACCATGATAGCGTGGGAATAACTTCATCTAATCGTGGATTGGCCAAGGTTGATGATGTCGAATTCGAACCTCTGCCACATTTGGTTTCCTGGATGCTAATGTTGGAGCCGTCATTGAGTGCACCTCGCTGAGTGCACCTCACTGATCGACCAGGACCTCATCTCTATCCAGCAGATGAAGGGGATATCTTCTTTTAATCAAGGTTACTAAGCACAGGAGGCACAAAGGCCCAAAATGCCAAACAGCCTGGAACAAGCAGCACTATAGGTGTAAAATAGATAAGAGGTAACGCATTTCTTGAGTTGATCAAGGTTAACATAAGAGCTTCAGAAATAGACAAAATGACAAAAAAACTCAATAGTTGTCAATAACATTGCCTTCAAAATAAAGTCTTATTTCATGTGATCACTTTTTTGTTGTTTTGCACTTTCTGCTTTTGTACCATTTCTTAATTTGTTAATAATTTTAGATTTTGCTTGGTAGTAGTAGGGTTTTTATTTGATTGGTAGTGGCTCTATATGGGATTTGGTCCTTTTACTGTATATAATTAATCTATGGCGTTATGGGATTGCATTAGCATGAATGACGCTATATAAAATAAAGTATTATTATATAAAATCATTGTAGGGTGAGCTAAATGAAACGGAGACCAATGAAATTTGGTGAGAGTTCATTGCTGTGCACTTTTTGGCTTGAGATTGAACGGTTAGGCTATTATATTGTTGCCAAAATAATAATGTGTCATGCATTTTATATATAGTTTTGTATAGAACTAGGACCCATATTTAACAGAGACGGTACTTGCCTATGAACATCTGTCAATTCACCAGCATTGGTTTAAGCAAGCCTGATTGATTTATCTATGGTTTTAACATCCATTCATCATTTTGTCTCTTAGAACGTTCATCTATTGCTACAATAAGTCTCCTTCATCAACTATATTACAAAATATATATATCAATATAAAATGTGTGTAAAACAAGTATGGCAAACTAAATAAAATATTTTGCGAGAGACGACTACGAACACTTGAGAAAATGTACTCCGAGGGCAACTAACGAAGGTGGATTGGGATACAAATTATGAAACGAGCGAACAAAAGCAGAATGAAATGCTTTTGGGAAAACTGAATTTGATCGAAAAAACAACAGCACAGTGCCTGAACCAAGGTTTCATTCAGCGCACAATACAGACGATGACATGGGTTAGAAGCAAGGGCATTTCTAAATAAGAGGGAGCTAAAGCTGAATAGTGGGCATAAAGTGATGCATGCTGGGAATTGCACGAGATGGAAAATGGAACGTGGGGTCATAAAAAGACAAATTCGAGACGCCACGTCGACTGTTAAGTCAGTGGGCTGGAACAATTCAGATCACTCGAAGGGACGATGGCTGATGGACGAGACTGGTTATGGAATGGCAGTCAAAGGGGACACACGCGCACAAAACAATGGCTACAATTGAAGGTGGAGCAAGGAGACAGGTTCATGTGCAGGAGTGAAGTGGATTGCGGCATCACAGGATCATGAGGGATGATGATTGTGTCAGTCGGCCTTCATCCATCCGTTGATAGAGCATGGGTGACGATGACTGTGATGTACGCTTACGTATGAAGATGCTTAACGGTGAAAAGGTAAATGGACGTATTGGTGGTACACCGGTCCCTATAAAAAAAGTATAAAATCTAAATTGTAATCAGCAAATCTGTTTTATCAGTGTTTAACTGACTCTGTCGCCAAGTTTGATGCGATTCAAAGGTTTATTCAGTTTACTAAGACTTAAAAAGGTGAACATTAACCATTGATTTTGGATCCGTTGAATCGAGGAATCGTCCAACCAAGTCAAGGGCACGAAGAGTCAAATCTGTCCTTGCAAAACGGAGCCAGCCAATCTTCATCAGGTTGGGTGCTGCTCCACGGCAGCAGACTGTGAAGCTTCGTGTTCAGCCGCTCATAACATTCGTCTTCCGACTGCTTCGACATCACGAGAACTGATTTTCACGCACCACCTGGCAAGATTTCCTGACCGGAGTTGCGAATATCAGGAAAATAAAAAAAATAAAGAATGCTTGCAAAAACGTTTATATATACCGTGCACTGGTGTACTGCCAATACGTTCAAATGTACATTTTAAGTAGTCGAAATGTGTTAATGCATTGACAAAAAACGAAGTGCGCAAAATCCTGACATTGAGCCAGTTAAAACACTCTTCAATCACAGTTATTTGACATTCTTCATGTTTATTTTTAAATAAAATGTTACTGAAATTAAAACTGTGCAACACTGGAAAGTTTGAATCACAAAATGGAAAAAAAAGACTGCGGTTAGCTTTATCAAAGTTTCCATGGGCTTATAAAATGCCACACGAATTAGCATCAGTCGCTTTATCTCGAGTCAACAACGGCCACCTGCCGGGCTGGATGCGAGCGGTGCCGAGTTTGGGGGGGGGGGGGGGTCCACGTGTGGAGGAGTCGTGAGCCGCGCTGCTCGCAAGCAGATAACAGAAGCTGCCGTTGTTCTCACTTCGTCTCGGCTCCTCCAAGCTGAGAGCCTCGCCACTTACCCCGTTCCCTCCTCTTGACGTTGACCGTCGTCAACGCACTCGTTTGTTGTTATTGTGCTTTCATCGCGTCGACGATTGCAAGTAGGAGGTGAGCTTTGTGAATTGTGTTGTCGCGGTGTTTGCTTGCTCTTGTTAAACTATGCATTTTGGCTGCACAGTACGATACCACAGGTTTGGTGGTATCGTGAATGCTTAAAAGCCCTTCATATGTCGCCTTATCCAAGCCGTGTAACATAGATATATTAATTTGTACAGCAGAATATTGCGGTGAGATTAGTTGGTGAGGATTGTAGTTGGCAAGAGGGATAGAGTCAGTGGTGGGGGAGGGAGGGGGAAGGAGAGTTTGGGTAAGCGAGGGATAATCATATTCTTGGTTCTTTCGGTAAAGTCACGTAGAAGGGAAACAGTAAAATAATACAAATATAAAACAATAAAATTCTCACGACGTTTCGACTGCAACACAAGCAATCATCATCAGGTGTGAAAACCACAGCAAGAAAATTTGAAAAAAGTGGCGGTTATTTTTAACGTTAGCACCACGGAGAGCGATTTGACAGTTTGTTCAGATGGACGAGTCCATCTATGTTCGGCGGTCTGAAAGCCACCGTAAGCGTGAACAATCAATTAAGACCCGAAATGGTTTATCAAATCCTTCCAATGATTGCTAAGCCAGAATCCATCTTCTCGGTTGAAATTGTCTCTGTGTTTGTATATGTGGATAGCCTCATGAACGAATCTCTCATGGTAGCCAGATGGCTTGCAAAGAACCTCTGTCTTGGAGAAGTCAATGTCATGTGAGCCTACTGAATTGATCTGCCACGGCCGAGGTGTTGGTCCTACCGTGTTTTAGGTCTGCTTTGTGTTCACGAATGCGGTCCGAGGGATAATCAGTGAGGGATTTAAGGGAAGAATGATTGATTCGTGAGTGAGGCTGATTGTTTGACGTGGAGGGGCAGTTTCAGTTTAATATATTTGGTATAGCCTTGTGAGCCATTCGGCTCTTGAATCGGGTCCAACCGCAACAAACAAAAACATGAACAAGAAACATCTTAAAGTGACTACGTGCAACAGAAAAAATCCAAGAAAAAACAGCAAAGTCTTCTAGAAAAAGCATCAAATGTCAATGCTGTGTGCAAAAATCCCAGTGGGATGCAAGTAAAACAATAACAACCATGAGACAGGAATGTGAAGCTGGTAAATGAGCGAAGACCTGAGGTCACATTTGATCTTCGAAACAGTGAGGAGATCCAGCAGGTAGTTTTGGGATTTTTTTGTAAGTACATCGTGAATAAATAAGATCTGATGCACAAGCCGTCGATCATTAAGAGATGTTAAGTTTGACCCAATAAAGAGATCACAGTGATGGGTCCTATATGGGCAGTTCAATGCAAATCTTAAGGCCAAGTGATAAATTGAGTCAAGCTTCTTCAGTACAGTACTGGGGCTGATTTATACACGATGTCACAGTAATCAAGTAAGGGCAGTATGGTAGCTTTTATCAATTCCAAACGGAAAACAGGGGGGGAAGCAGTGCTTGTGTCGATACAAAAACAATTTTAATTTTTGTCTTTTTACCAATATAATCAATGTTTGTTCCAGTGTAATGATGACGATCGTTTGTGTTGTGATCGAAACGTCATAGTTTTTTGTTTCTTTTATATTTATTACTTTTATTAAGTTGTACCTATCTGTGACTTTGCCGAAAGACCCAAAGAATATGAAAGGGAATGATTATTGGGCACAGGGAGGAGGGGGAACAGAGACAGCTGGGATTGTGAACGGAGAGGGCGAGGGGTGTCGAATGAAATGAGGGAAGCGAGATACGCTGGGGCGAGACCATGGAGAGATTTGTAAAATCGGGCGAAGAATTTGAAAAGGCAACGATAACAGACGGGAAGCCAGTGTAGCTGGACGAGGAGAGGTGATCTACTGGGACTCTATGAAAAAAATAGCTTCATAGCTCATCGGATTCCTCCAGGATAAATAAAGATTCTGATTCTGATGTGTGGGAGTGGTAGGGGAGATTAAAGATGATCCGGGCAGCGGAATTTTAAATTTGTTGATGTGGTTTAACTGTGTTGGAAGGACGACCGAGCATGACGGAGTTGCAGTAATCGAGTCGAGTGAAGATGAGGCAGTGGATTATAAGTTGTGTCGTCGTAGTTGAGATGAGGGGGCGGACTTTGCGATAGTTTTACAGGTGAAAGCTGCAGGAACGGGTAGTGGCAAATAATGTGATCGGATAGATAGAGAGAGAAAGAGAGGAGTCAAAGATGACGCCAAAATTACGGCCAGACGATACAGGGGTAAGGGAGACAAGATGAAAGGAGATAGTAGGACAGGGAAGCAGGGAAGAAAATTATTTAGGTTTTGGAAGGATTGATGGAGAGAAAGTGCTGGGACATTCAAGACTGGATCAGGCAGGTAGAAATGTGAGAACCAAGGGCGGGAATGACAGATGGCAAGGCTGAAAAAAATATTAACGTCATCAGCAAATTAATGATGGCGAAGGTTGAATGATGAGAGGAGGGATTCGAGTGGAGAGTCGTAGAGACAGAAAAGGTAGCAGACCACCTTGGTGGACACCAACAGTAACGGGGGGGCGGGGGGGGGTTGGGGAGAGGTGACGTGGTTTGATGACATTGGTTGAGGTGCGTCAGGGGAGATAATAATGAAACCAGAAAGAGGGATACACTAGATACCGAGAGAGGTCAGGGTAGAGGAGAGAGGGGGATGGTCAACTGTAGAATGAGAATAGAAGACTGACATGAGCAGAGTTTTGACAAATGGTTCTGACAAATATCGCAAGTAGGACCATGTCCAGGGACAGAACCTGGATTTGAATTGTGGGTATAGAGAGTAAAAATAAATGTACTGAGTGAGGCGGGAATGGACCAGGCATTCAAGAAGTTTAGCAAAGAAAGGGAGAAGGGGAAAAGGCCGATCGTTCTCAGGGCGAGAAGTATCCAGAGATAGTTTTTTTTAAGAGAGGAGCAATGATGGCATTTTTGATGTCTACAGGGAAAGGGAGAGGTCGGGGAGAATCAGAGGGAGATGGGGTATGAGGGAGAAGCAGGTAGGGCCGAGTGGACAGGAAGTTGGGTGGGCTTTAGAGATTATGGAGGATAGTTCAGAAGTGATGGTTGGAGTAAAATACGATAAAGTAGAGTCGGATTGAGGTGCATGGGGGGAAAAAGATTGAAAGGATACGCCAGTGGGGGAGGGAGACGGAAAAGAGGAACGATGGAGTCGATTTTGGAAGTGAAAAAGTTATCAAAATCAATTGCGGAAGGGACAGACGATACGGGAGGTAGAACAGGAGAGTGGTGAAGGTTGACGTGGATGGGAAGCGAGAAAAGAGATGAGGGCTCTAAAATAATGTTATTTGGCTTGTTGAGGGCTAGGAAATAATCGTATCTGGTTTGTTGCAAGTCGGATAAAACGTGGGATAGGAGCGAATGATACGAAGCCATGTTGTTGGATAAGCGAGACGATTTCAGAATCCTTTCTGCTTTGTGCAAGAGCCGTCGTTTTCACTGGGGGAGGGGAGCAATTGATTTAGGGTTGACGAGGCTTGCGTGGAAAGGGGACCGAGGGAAAATGGGAGCCAGGGAATCAGGGAGCAAGACAATGCATAGGAGAGGGTGGTGGATGCTGAGTTTGGATGAAAGGAACTGAAACCAGATATAACGAACAGGAGAGAAGAAACGCTAGAGATTAGAGAACTTGTTGAGAGGCAGTGGGGATTACGAGAAGGCTGGGGGGGGGTTAATATGGGGGGGGGGGCAAAGGGAAGCGAGATGGTGAGATAAAGGTAGAAGTGAACGGAAGAGGGACAAGGGGATGCCGTGGTAGGGAATGCTTGACAACCGGAGGTGAAAATGAGGTCAAGAACATTACCAGAGGAATGAGTAGGGGTAGATGAAAGGTGGAGATTGAGTGAATTGACAAGAGGGAGGAAGGAAGCAATAAGGAGAGTGCTGAGATTAGGATTAAAATCACCCAGAAGAGTGAATGGGTGGGGTAGGTGGGGGAAGGAGGAAAAATGCATTCGAGATTATCAATGAACAAAGAAGATGGACCAGGAAGATGATAGATGATAAGCAGAGAGATGGAATGAGGGAAACGAATGAAGGGAACTGGGCTTCGAAAAATGGAAGGGGAGGAGGTGGAAAGGGGGGGGGGGGTGGAGGAGCCAAGTAGGACGAGTGAGGAGACCAATACCATCCGCCTTTTGCAGCTAACCGAGGTGTGTGGACAAAGGTGGAGGTGGTTAGAGCGGCAGGAGTGGCAAGGTTGAGTGGAAATATCCAAGTTTCGCTGAGTGCAAGAGCGTCGAGGTGGAGAGACCGAAAGGCGTCGAGGGTCGTGGCGGATTTATTACAGATAGAACGGCCATTCCACAGTCCGATTTCGATATGACAGTTAGGACGGTCTGGGTGGGAGGCGCCATGAAGGTGGCGAGTGGGGGAGAATTTGGTTGTAGGTGAGATGTACAGTAGATGACATTGGGGTAGGTGGGTTTAGAGTGCTTAACTGGCGTCGAGTAGGAGAGTGGGCAGGTGAGGGAGGGGATGGGATAGACAGGTAGGGGAATGGAAGGTGAAGCGGTCGTTGACTCGTGGCTCGTGGATGAGGTGTTTATGGTGGAGATGGTACATTGGAAATGCGAAGTGGTGATGATGACACTCCAGGAACGACTTCTGCATCCACGCGGACGAGGTCTGCGGTGGGGAAGGGACGAATAAGGATGCGCTATGCTTTTGACTGATAGTGGCTTCAGCCTCGAAGCGTCGAATGCATTTGTGTGTCAAGGCGGATAAGTTTGGGCTAAACAGGTAAAGGTGCAGTCCTACAATTGCTCGCTCAAGCCACTGCGCTGGGAAGGGCATCCCACTAGGAGATCTAGAGAGTATTTGGCCTACTCTTCCACGCTGACCACACGCGTTGGAAGAGGTTGGCGTATCCAAAATTTACCCCACCACACGCAACCTGTCAATCACTGACTGTCGTGTGTCCATTCATACTGCTAGATAGACAGAGGCGTCACGGTGGTGAGATGTTAACTACCTCGCTTGACCCTGACACCTGCTCAATATTTGGAGATTGCGTGTCTCTCTCCCAGTGTTCGCATAGATTTTTCTCCGGGTCCTCCGGGTTTTCCCTCCACATTTAGAAAGATGCTTTTAGATGATTTGGCTGCTATAAATGTCCACGTGATAAGCCAGTTCGTTGAGCTATAATTCGTGGCCGGGTCGCTTCTAAAAATCAGATATAGAGCTCAGTGGGCCTTACCTGCTAAATAGCAAAATAGTATCGTTTAAAGTTCCACCCCGAGAGATGGAATCGAACCAGCGACCGCTAGGATCGCAAGTCCAGTGCGCTCTCTACTGCAGCTACCTCGTGGCTAGCGGACTTCGTCATTGACATTTAGCTCGTGAACAAATTGCCATCATGCCCAAGAATAGAAGAGAGTGCTGACCACGACACCACTGTGGCAGCTCCGAGCCAGGGACCCTTCGCGATATTAAACCTTGCCGTCTGGATAAGAGCAGCTCCTGGAGGCATTTGCAGGAATACAAAGAAAAAAAACTCTAAAGTAAATTCATAATTGTTCGTTTATAATCATATATGATAACTTTAAATGTGTATGATAAATGTTTGTTGTAATATTCATTACATGTCAAGGTACTGTTTATTGCAATACTGTATTAACGTAATGTGCGCTACTGCTGCTACCATGCGTTTAGAGTATGTGGCTACTATAAATGCCCACATGATAAGCCACTTCGTGGAGCTATAATTTGTGGCCAGGTCGCTTTCCCAAATAAGAGCTATAGAGCTTAGTGGGACTTACCTGGTTAAATAAAAAAACAATTGTTGAATTTTAAATAGTTGTGTTATTTGAATTTAACTAACGTGCGTTTCTACTGTTTTCCGTACGTTAATTAATTAAATGAACAACATTTGTGCTGACGTTATTTTCAAAACGTCACTTGATTTATTTTCAGATTCATGAAATATGTTGTTCCTGGGATATGCTGCACTTGTGGCGTTTGTGTTCATTTCAAAAGGTAAGTTGTGCTTCCATACTTGCGTTTTAAGTTGGATGGTATTTAAAATGAATGCGTAATATCTAATGGATGACAGCGCGTGGATCGTTGCAAATAATTTAATTGCACGTGCAACAGCATTAATGTGTGTGTGTTGTCTGTGTCCTGGCGTGGTCTAGCTTTGAGTTTGACCTGCGTCACCTCCCATGTAGATGTCCTTCTCAAGGCATTGTGGCTCCTCTTGCAAGAGATGCAGAGCCACTTCAGGACTTGTCATTGTACAGAGTGACTTGAGATTCAATGGTACTGGACATCGTTATTGATTAGGACATCGCCATTGGCTAAATCAAGGATGCACAACTAAATCATCACTCGATCCATTTTCGTCATCGTAGTCTTGAACATTGTCTTCATTATTTCCTGGTGTCATATTTGCAGAAAAGGGAAATCTCCTGGACCGGATGGAATAACTTGACGCCATCAAAGAAGCAGCGAAATTAGCAGAGACCTGCTTACGAGAGATTTCCAGGCAGTCCTCGACTTACGAACTGGTTCTGTTCCTGAGACCCGTTCGTAAGTCGTAACACAATAATGTACTGTATTTAAATACACACACGGCCAGTTATAAAATGCGATATGGTTCAACAAAAAAGGGAAGCATTGTTAAACGCATAAATAATTTGTACATTTCCATGTAATGCTGTAAAAAATATGTATAGCAAATTAAATGTTAAATAAAATCACCGTGAGTCCTGATGCTGACTTGCTTGTCGGAAGGGGAGCAATAAGTCACCGCACGCGCGCACACCCAACAAAGATCCCATGTGTAGCCTTCACAGGTTGTTGGGGCAAGTGCTGTTAGCGAGCAGCGCCTATGAAGGCCCAGTGGCGATGTTTACACACCGCACCAGGTACTCGTTTGACGCTGAGTCGACCTAGGGGAGGCCCAGGACCCATTCAAATAATCGTCACTGGGGTTGGTTGTGAGAGCGGGAATCGAACTCGGGTAGCCGGGTTGGTAGTGCAGCGTGAAAACCATTGCACTACCGCTCCACACACAAGCATGAGGTAAGGGGGACACGCACAAAAAAAGACAAAGCTCCCCCTTATAGCCTTTACAGACTGTTGGGGCAAGTGCTGTTAGCGAGCACCTATGAAGGCCGGCACGGCACACGAGGGGGTCGGTGGCTAACTCCACGCCCGACCGCCTTTGTCTCCTCAACGGCGATGTTTTTACACACCACGTACTCATTTAATGCTGAGTCGACCTAGGGGAGGCCCAGGACCGGTTCCGATAATCGTCACTGGTGTTCGTGGCCGTGAGCGGGAATCGAACTCGGGTAGCCGGGTTCGTAGCGTAGTGCGCTAATTGCTACGCTACCGCTCTCCACACATGCGCACGCGCACACACACACACACAACCACACACACAACCACACACACACAACCACACACGCACACAACCACACACACACAACCACACACACACAACCACACACACAACCACACACACACATGTGCGTGCACGCAAACACACACACTGCGCGAGGCTGACTCATTACATCTCATGGAGGATCGGTCCGCTGGACAAGTCCGATTTCGCGTTTTAAGTCGATGTTACGGAACCTGGTTCGTAAGTGCGGAAGTACGTAAGGCAGGGTATTCGTAAGTCGAATACTGCCTGTACACATAAATGTAATGCCTCAAGAATAGAATGATGCCCAAATTATTATTCCATTTAGAAATGGAGAGAGAAAAATGTATTGATGAATTACAGGCCCAGGGTCGTCCTCGCACACACGTGAAAATTGTTCACCAATATCATGGGGAACACAATAATGGACAACGTTGAGGCCAACCAATCACTGGAGCAATCCAATTAGGGAAACCTGTTTCTACTCTCGATCACATACATCCTGGCAATCGGATTCCGTGAAAGACTTGGATATCAAAAAACACAATGCCTGGCCTTCACAGATTGCGAAAAGGCAATCGGTGCAGTGTAAATTGATGCATTCATCACAAACCAAGGCCTCAATAAGAAATGTTTAGAAATGCTAAAAGTAATTTAGAAGGATGGCGGTTGTTGTCAGACGAATTGGAACCTGAATGGTCACCGTCATGCGCTGGATAGGATTATGTCATGAAAGGACTGCTGAAACGGTGGCAATGTACAACTATGAATGTAATAATGATGGCGTTGTTTAACATTTGAATTGCCACAAAAAAGAAAACACGTGCAAAGCCAATTTTTACTCCAGCGATGGAGATTTTAATCACCATAAACCCTACTGGATATCTACATTGATTTCTCTTACACATCTATTTGCTTTTAAGCCTTTCAACAAAACTCTTGATAAGCACTCTCCCTGGAATGATTGATGAACGCATCCCTTTAAAGCAGCACGACGCCGATGCCCCCTTTGCTTTACGACGACATTTCCCTACTCGGCAACATTGTTAAGCAGTTCCTCTAACGCAGTGCTTCTTAACCTTTATTGCAGCCTTGCACCCCTTTGGGTCTCAATCGTGAACTATATATGTAACGTTAATACACACATAGGTTTTATGGTACAAGGTAGTTATACTTACGTGCCCGTGCTTAATTTGTGCTTTCGATTATTTACCTTCTTAAAAAGATCTGGCCATGTCTCGCACCCCCAGAAAGGGCATCTCGCACCCCCAGGCGGTGCGTGCACCCCAGGTTAAGAAGAACCACTACACTCACGTCTGTCAAACCTCTACACTAAATATATCACAGGTTTTTACTGTCCTTTATATTTTATTTGAAAATAACTTTACCACCGATGCCCGATATATTCTCAACGGCAAAGGGTCAACAAGTCGCAGACACAGCCTCCTCCGCCTAGATAATAACATGATAGATTGGTAATCACGCTATTCTTATAGCGGCAAGGCTATCACGAAGGAAGGTGCTATGTTTCACAGACATAGCAGTCGTTTGGCTGCAACGGGCGATGTCGCTATGTGTCATCCCAATTGAGTGACCTGCGGGTAACTTTTCGAAATTGACAACATTTGAACGATGATGCCGGCACACAATATGCCTCATCTCGAATGACGTCACGCGTCTCCCGACTCCCTTTGCAGTCGGGGTGGTGGTGCTCACTTCTTTCTGGCTGCCCCGAGCCACTGGTATAAATTACACATTCCCATGGCAGGGCCCCCAGTATATCCGGAGACGAAGCCCCAGTGAGGACATAACACGAAATCGCGCAGTAACCTTAAATATTCTCGCCGTAGTTGTACAAATCGATAACATCGCACGGCGTGGGCCTCTACTCTTAAGTTACTTTTTTTCCTGCATATAGCCCGCATACGCATATAACCCGCAGACGCATATACCCCACAAAAATAGCGTTTTGTGTAAAACAAATTTCAGATAGCCCGCACCTCCATATACCCCGCATGCATTCATATATTTGACGTCATTACCGCAGCTTAATTCCGTCATATCAATACGAAGTTTAAATTTGTAATACATTCCACTATAAATTTTGAACGTTAAAATCATAACGTGCACAAAGAAAACAAACTAACCGGAAACGAGTGAACTTAAAACAGCAAATAAGTAACAAAAGTAAATATACAGTAAATAAGTAACACATAACTGGTATATAAGTACAGTTTTATCACTGGTAGATTGCGCACTGTGCAATGGCACTACGGTAACGCCATTGCCCCCCCACCTCTCTCTCCCCCCAGCTGCCCCACCCCCCAACCCCCACCTCTCTCTCCCCCCAGCTGCCCCACCCCCCAACCCCCACCTCTCTCTCCCCCCAGCTGCCCCACCCCCCAACCGCCACCTCTCTCTCCCCCCAGCTGCCCCACCCCCCACCCCCCACCTCTCTCCCCCCAGCTGCCCCACCCCCCAACCCCCACCTCTCTCTCCCCCCAGCTGCCCCACCCCCCAACCCCCACCTCTCTCCCCCCCAGCTGCCCCACCCCCCACCCCCCACCTCTCTCTCCCCCCAGCTGCCCCACCCCCCAACCCCCACCTCTCTCTCCCCCCAGCTGCCCCACCCCCCAACCCCCACCTCTCTCCCCCCCAGCTGCCCCACCCCCCAACCGCCACCTCTCTCTCCCCCCCAGCTGCCCCACCCCCCCACCTCTCTCTCCCCCCAGCTGCCTCACCCCCCAACCCCCACCTCTCTCCCCCCAGCTCTCCCGTCGCCAGTAAACAGTGCGTGCACTTCAAACATTGTCGTTTCATTGTACAAACAATTCGAATAATTTAAAACGTGATAACATGTGCAATTTTAGTGTGAGTGGTTTATTCAGCAGAGCTTTAGTCAAAGGTAAGTGTTGCATAGTGGATAGTCCTATCATGACATTTTTTAACGAGTTATGACATGTCACACGTGTCAAATATTTTCGGGATAGCCCGCACCTCCATATACCCCGCAGGGTCTTGTTTTGTTTGTAAAAAGTGGTATACCCCGCGGGTAATATGCGGGAAAATACGGTACTTCCTGCCATCAAGAATGTTTGAATAACCAGGATCAATACCACACAATAAGTGTGTCGCAGCACGCAAATGAGCAGCCCTTTTGAGACCTGGTGCAGCCAGGGTTGTACTGCACGGCACCGAAATTGAGAATGACGTTTAGTAAAATAATTTGCCGACATTATTGTGGCACTGTGAGTCCACTCGTATTGCAAATGTCACGTGCAACTTGTATTATTTAACTGTCAAGTCTGGTTAATAATATCGCGTAATTACAGTTCTACTGATAATATTAATATGCACATCAGTTGCGTTTGTAATCGCATAAGCTGGAAATGTTACGGTGATTTCACATTGGACTCTCAATCACTCCATACGATGCCGTTTATCGCGAAAATGGAGCTAATAATTGCGTATTTGATTTGTCTTCGGACAAAGCACTAAATAAATAAATGTACACGTGTACATTTAGAAAAATGTACTATGTTAAAAAACAATTATATAAGCTTAAACATCAGCATGGTTCAAATATGGCTCACAAAACTTCCTAATGGTAGAGTGGTCTCAATATGGTAAGCTTTTAGAGCCCTACATTAATAATATATGCTAAATGTATGTTCTCTGCTAACCATCAATAAAATACCAGTTTTCGATCGCCACCCATTCGATCCACAACTGATATCCGCGCGTTGACTCGATGCTGTCAAGATAATGAATGTGGTTGTTATTGTGTTCCCCAACCCTTGCTGCCCCCAACTGTCCCCTTATCTATCTCTCCACCCCCTGTCCCGCCACTCCTAGGCACCGCAAACGAAACCCGGGACATATTGGTGACTGAAGGAGATCAGGTTGTGCTGCCCTGTGGTGTTGATGATGGCTCCTTGGAGAGGTGACGCGGAGGAGAGTCGTGGTGTACGATACACGGACGGTGACACGGAGCAAAAACAACTTCAGAGCGATTGCATAGACACCGGAGAATGCGCTTTTGGATATTTGGTGGAGAGCGTCTGGGTGAGACCGCGGGATCCTCGATTGCATGGCCAACACCTTTCTCGCTGCTGATACCCACGATACTCGCGGAAGATGCTGGGATATACTTCTGCCTGGTAGATAGTAACCACCTCCAACTCATGCAAAAACTAGAATTTCAACTCATCATAAGGGAAAAAGGTAAACAACAGTAGTAACCGGTCTAGCAAATACTAAAATAAGTTTTAACAATGGCTAATTATTTACCGTAATTGCGAATAATGTTGTCTCTATTGCATTGAAAAAAGCATTCGGCGCATGTGCCGCTGACAATAGACATTGCGTTACACGATGCAAGTAATTCGAATGTATTTTTTATATATATACTGTAGAATACTCATGTATACAGGAGTGTAAATGTGTAGTTAAAAAAATCATAAATATGAAGATTCAATTATTAAAATGTAACTATTTTCTAGATTTGTTTTTGATACGAAACGTTTCACGAGAGTTTACACATACAATATTTAAAACGAGTGACATATGTTCAGTTGGCCAAAGCCCTTCATAACTTTTATTCACATGACAATACACTTTAAACTCATCAGTGCCTCATCTGTTGACTTAGAATGATGAGGGTGGTGTGGAGTCACACGATCAGGCGGCCTTCATTGTTCCTAGTTCAGTGGTGTCATTAATGTTGTGACGAACGCTCACAGGGACCGAACCAGTTGGAAATGTCACCACGAATCCATCAAGATGCATCTCAGAGGTGGCCAGCTCAGGTCCTTCTGGCTGTGAGAACTCAAACACAACTCAAGGCACTGACCCTGGCAACATATTGAAGCAATACAAGATGCTATTTTTCATCTCTCTTGCAATGATGGCTGTTTTGATAACAGTGTTGGTCGTGGTAATCTTCCAACTGTTTAAGAAAAAATATGGTAAGAAAACTATTACATTGGCATCTCTATAAGTAGTCAATGGTTGGTGAATATATATATACATCATATACACATTGTAGGATTATTATGCACGTAAAATGTATGGCATAGGTAGTAGCGTGATAATAATGCTTGACAGAGAGACGAGTGTTGTGGGGATGGGATCCAGGATGATGGAGCACTTTTATTAATGTGGAAATGATGCTCGTGAAGTACGACATTCGGGGAGACTGGTGAGAGAATTGGGAAGACAAGTAGCAGAGATTTAGCAGAGATAAATTTCCATCTTCAATGTATAACCCAATTCCGTCCCAGTGTGCGGGCTTATCTTTTACTACAATCGTAAATTCTCCTTTGTTCAAGGTTGCTCTGACCAGCTCTATGGCACCGTAATGCCACCAAAGTGATCATTTATTGTGCGCATCGGCAATAACACAAGTGTTGGGGAATGCACATTAATATAATTACTTTTTAAAAAAAGAAAAATCACACACACCCTAAAAAAGTAACTTTTTACCAAAATATTGCTTTCAATTTGTAGTACTGAAACATGACAAAAATAAATGTCTGTTGCCCAAGCACACTAGAACCCTCTGCTTGGTTTAGATATGTGGATGACATCTTTGTGGTCTGGCCACACGACAAAGATACACTTAACGAATTTCTAAATAATCTCAAGTCGCAAAATCCATCCATCCAGTTCACCATGGAAGTGGAAGCTGACATAACTCTACCATTTCTGGATATTCTGCTCGGACGGGATCGAAATGGTAAAATAACACACAGTGTTTACCGAAAGAAAACGCATACTGACACCTATCTGAATGCAGAGTCACACCATCACCCCACACAAAAATCTGCTCTTATCAAGACGCTCATTCATCGAGCTAAGAAAGTGTCAGATTGTGACAGTCTGAGAAGTGAAATTCGACATGTTAAAGAAGCGCTGCAAATGAACGGTTATAATGATGCACAAATCAACAGGGCATGGAATGCCAAAACCAAATCAAATAACACGAGCATTGGACTGCCCAAGTAATTAAAACGATCAATAAACTAGTCAGATGTTTGGGAAAACAAAACATCCGAGTCAGATTTGGCACGGTACATAAAATACCGAAATTAATATCTGGTACAAAAAATGTATTACCGAAGCTATCAACAGAAGGTGTGCACTGCATTAACTGCACGTGTGGTAAATGTTATGTTGGGCAAACAGGACGAATGATCAGCACGAGTCTAAAAGAACATCAGAGAAATATTAAATTCTCCCAAAAACAACTGTCAGCAGTAGCAGCACACACGTGCCAACAAGGACATTCAATTGAATTTGATAATGTTGCAGTTCTGTGCAAGACTAGCTACTAATGGCCAATACTAATTAGAGAATCTATCGAAATTGAAAGAAATTAAAATAACATTAACCGTTCGGATAGCTACCGCCTTAGTGCTGCGTGGAAGCGAATAATCAAATAATACATTGTTTAAATGCATGCCTACAAAGGGCAGCGTACTTCAATAGGGATTACCGTTGGTAGGGCTATTTTAATAATAAACACAATAGACAGGAAGGACAAGTTCAAAGGGCACAAGAGCGCAAAAGCGTGGTCACCACATCTACGCCTCTATATAAGGAACGAAACAGTAAGACTTCTCCACAAATCTGGCTGTCGCCTGATGAAGCTAGTTGTAATTTCTGGCGAAACGTCGTACTCAGATTGTAAATGTTGTGGCTTGGCTCTCCAACACACCGGTGTGCTGTACTAGTGACGAATTGGCACGTTCTGTTTACGTGACAACCCTTACTATTTGGCTGTGTCGGGTGGTGACGGGTTTTAACGACACTTTTATATATTTACGCGATCTCACCCACAAAACCCTCTATTATGAGCTCTACAAGATGCTATTTATCATTGCCGTTGCAACGGTGGCTGTTGCTACCCGTGTTCGCATTGTTAATCTGCAAGCTGGTAAAGGTCAAGAAAGGCGAGGAAACGCAGAACGATGGCCATCCCTACAAGTGTTCAATTGTTCGAGGGTTCACGTGTACACTGTATGTAGAGGGGTAAAGGCGCAGCCCTGCAACTGCTCGCGCATGCCACCGCTAGCCGAGGGACCCTCCAATCTAGGGAGCTCTAGAGAGCAGCTACAGAGAGGTTGTGTGTCTCCTCTTCCGTGCCCCTCTAAACGATGGTACTCTAACCACTCGCGGTGACATAACCAGAGGTTAGAGGACCCACATTGTGTCCCACCACGCGCGTGACCTGTCGATCCACTCACTGTGGGGTCGTACCCATTTATATTGCTGGGTGGGCACAAGGTGGAGGGGCGCGATTTTAGGAAACTTTCCTCGTTGTTTCAACTGCCCACCCCTGGGAGGTGGAACCAGCGGCCTCTGAGTCACAAATCCATACACTGACCAACTACACCATGGCAGCAAACACATATATAAATACTGTGGCGTAATTATGCAAATACTGCAATAGTTATGGCACATATGTAATGTGTGATCAAGCCTTTGGGCCTTCTCCGAACATGTATGTAAAGCAACGATTAGTAAACAAAAACATCTCAATTAGCAAATGACATGCGTTTAAAAGGAAATTTTACCTCAAACAGAAGGTTATGAGTTCAAGTGCTGTTTGAAGTTGATTCGTTCTACCGGTCCCCTGAGCACCGGTCTGTAGTGTTAACAGTGGTTCTATCAAGCGCCTCACCACCTCCATATGAACGTGGGATTACCACAGCTGGCTTGGAGAGAGGATAAGCGTAGTGCGCAGCTCGTAGGGATTCGTGGCCAGTTTGCTTTTGGCCAACTTCTGAGAAAAGGGGCAAATTCTGTTTATATCTGGTGTGGCTTGTTGGATTCTTGATAAAATATACAGTTGACTCTGCATAATGACACATCGATTACAAAAATAATTTAAATTCACGAATCGACAAGGCCATGGAACTTATTATTAAAGCATCATCATCCACTGCCTGCATGACGGAAAAAAACTCTGCACGTTTAATTGTTCAGAGAAAACCAAAAGTAATTAACATTACTCTGAATGTTCTCAAAACAGAATGCCTGTCATTGGTATCGAAACTACAAGGACTCGGCAATCTCTCTGCACAGGGACACGCTTCGGTGAGTGCGACTTCTGCCCTGAATACAGATGCTGACCACAGGCCCAGAGGCCACCACGGCCGCAGAATCGCATTCCATGCCGCTCTGCACCGCACAAACCCAGGGGACAGATGCACCTGGGGGCCCGCCCCAACATTCCCAAGTAACTTCCATCTGCGCCCTGTCAATTCCCCTTCATCACCGTGTACCTCTGTCTCAACCTTAACAGGTTCCATACATGTCCTATCAATGGCTCTCTTGCCTTACCTCTAGCAGATCCCCCAATGATGCCATAGTGGAGAGGCGTCACAATCGATGAGCACTCTGCGCCATGCCTAAGATGTAAGTGTGTGGCAGAATTCATTCATTCACTCATTGTTCTGTCCGTAGACAGGTCTAAGGCACAATTATGTCCTCTATGTTCCTCTATCTTATGCTGATGTCTGTATCTGTCCGTACGTCCTTCCTTCTTAAACATTTTTCAAGCATCCCGCTTTGCTCCTTTCGGTAAGGTCACGTGTAGAAAGGAAGTAAATTAAATAGAGTACGACGTTTCGATTGCAACACAACCAGTCGTCATCAGGTAGAACTAAATTTGAGAGAGAGACAAAACACAGACACGGAGACACACAGGCAGACACACAAGCAGAGAGAGACAACACAGCTACACAAAGAGATAGACACAACATAGACACACAGAGACCCAATGCCTCTGTGTCGTGGCCTTAAATAGAGAGAGAGAGGTGGGTCTGCTGGAGCAGAGAAATTAGCATGTCAATGAGAGAGCTGTGTGGAAATCCACCCCGTGGCGGCAGGGGGAGAGAAAGACCCAGCGAGTCTGATATTGAGACACAAACTGAGCAAATTTTTGTAAATGTAATGCAATGCATCGCAGAGAGTTAACGCATAGCCTGGCTGATTACGTTCTCCAAAGCATCCTCATTATTTTCATTTCTCTTTGTTTTTTTCCCAAAGACTTTTCCCTCTTTATCTCGGCGGAATGACGCCAGCCGAACCTCTAATTAGCTGACGGAGGAGATGACGGAGATGGCATTCATATCGTACCCGGTGGAATTGACGCATATATCTCGAACACACTCGTATACGCTGTAGGTACATGCGTGTATGCGCCCAAGCGTTTACAAAGATGCAGCAAAGAAGCGGCTGGGTTATTGAATCACCCAGACAACAGGATTCACGAATAAGGGGAAGATCGAAAAAAGTTTGACTGGCAATGGGAAACTACAGATAAAATTACAAGTATTGGTGCTAGTGCTTTACATTCGCCTATCTTGTGGTACGTTGTAAGGAATGTAATAGCGGAGGGACTGCAGTCACAACTGCTGTCGTAACGGTTTCTAGCAGCCAAGTGAGGTCTGTGTGTGTGTGTGAGTGACGGCTGTCACCACACGCGGTGTGACTTGTCTCCTCCTGTGCCAGGATGCAGTGGAGGAGCCCCATTACTGCCCACTCCAGGGAAAAGGGGACAACCCTGAGCTCTACACTCATCTGGCTGGGCAATCATAATGCGCTTACACACACACATACTTATAATCTATATCATCATCATTATTAGGACGCTTTTTATGCTGGAAAGCCTCACTGCGTCCCAGGACTATTGTTCAGGAGGATTCTGCCAAGCTTACGAAGTAGGGGGCAAATTTTGTTTATGTGGGTTATTTGTAGGCCATTCTTCAGCATTGGGATGTTTGCCCAAAACAAGTTTAATTGCGTGCCTTCAGCTATTGGCAGGAAACCCACGCAGAACAGGGGGAGAACGGACCAACTCCACACAGAAATGTGCCCGAGATGGGAATCGAACCGAGACCCTTCTTGCTGTTAGACACAAGTGTGCGTAACACCCTGCCACCCAAAAATTAATTAAAGTAGAATTTTTGTACAATGTTACTTAAGTGTAGCGGGTATAACACGATTCCAAATCTTGTCTTAAAATGTGTAGTGTTTGCAATGAGCTACTGTTAGACAACTTTAATAAGTGCAACTTATAATTGCAGTACAGTATATGCATACTGTGTCCTTGACATGTGCTTTTGACAACACCGTCAACATCCATTTTGGAGGCTTTTATGTCGAAAACGTCTCTGGCATGCATTGCGAGCTTGCACATTGGAGGATAACCGTCGGATATCCGACTCCTTGGGGGCTCAGGTTCAGACGGATTGTGTGTAAAGGTGGGATTTGCAAGCATCTACAGAAAGGGACAATTTATCATCGTTCACAGATACATGCGCTTCATTGCTATAAGCTCACAAACAAATGCATCTGCCGTGATCACTCTGATTGTATCACGTTGTTTGATCTGGGGCATCTGTTGTAAATGTATGCATGTTGAACTTCTTTTGCATCGTACGTAGCCGACCGTGTAATTATACGTTTCAAACATTGCATACTCTGACTTCCACTTTACTAAATAAACATTGCATTTGTGCTTATTTTGGTGCCGTTTTCTTTTAATTGTTTTACACAAGTTGATTGGTCTATAGGTTGTGTTGTTTTATTTATATAGAACTATTTAATAAAACATGGATAATGTCTGTGTTCCGTGATGACCACGACTGAATCGAGCAATTCAATGAAATCACAGACAGAGCCACCATGCACTCTGCCCAGTCACTGTACGCATAAATCATAGCTGCTGTGAAGGAGACATCGTCACAGCGATGATGATTCACCACTCCGCTACTCCTGATGCAATCAGAACCAGAATCTGTATTTACATTGGAGAAATTCGATTAGCTATACGGTTCTTGTTCAGAGTTATTTTTTTAGGAGCAGGTCAGAACGTTATAACAACAAACAGTAAAAAAAACACGATAGGAGTGCAAAATTTAGGAAAGATAAACTAATCACATTAAAAACAATATACAAATAAAGGTAAACTATGTTTTATCTTACCAGCTAAAGCCCACTGAGCTTTTAGCTTCTTTTTCAGAAGGGGCATGGCCACAAATGATATGACAACGAAGCGGTTTAATAATAGGGGTTTTCCCCTTTTTTCTGGCAACAAAACTGAAGGATTAATGTTGCTGCATTAACCACAATACCTGCAGTCAAAATGCAAACAGAAAACATACTATGATAATATATGCATTGTCCTTGAAACTGATTGGTCCACACCAATCCTTGTAAAAAAAAGGTTTCAGTTTTGTTGCCAGAAAAAAGGGGAAAACCCTATTATTACATTTTGGTACTGGCAAAGGAGGTCTAATAACGAAGCGGTTTATTATGTGGACATCCATAGCAGCAAAATAATCGTGCTGGCTCATCAACCACCTCGATGTACAATCACAGCTGTTGCTCTCCATCAACATCAGCCACGCGGAGGAGAAGCACAATGGCAACTATGGTGGTTGTAGAGAAGCAGCCACGGCCCGAGCCCGCTGAGCCTGTGGGTCCTCAGAAAGTGCAACGAGAGCCGTGAGTGACGCGTGTCTGGCAACAGCTGAGCGGCCACAGCCGCTCTCGCATCGAGTGGCACAGCCATCTACCCTGCAGGGGTGGGGGCAGATTTGGCACAGCCGAGCGACAGCCAACACCAATTTAAGGCACTTTAGCTGAAGTAGGCGATTCAATAGCCACACACAAATCACGCGCAGGCCAAACACGTGATGTTAAAAAATAAAGGGCTCATTCGACACCCAAATATCGCAACATCTCCTAGCTTTGATTTTCCTCCTGGAAGACGCCGGTGGAACCATCAACAACATCAGTGTGCACTTCCCCTTTATGAACAGGACATTAAAGACAAGCCACGGTCGTGCAATTGCGGGGTCCATAGTTTGGGTATACAACCCAAACTATGGACCATATAGTAAACCCATAGATACTCATAAAGATAGAAGGAGACGCATAGAGAGACACAGAGATACATTAAAGGTAACCCACAATAGTGCCAATTGTGGCCATGTACACCATCCTACAGTAAACCCCACTGTAGGCCGCGCTCCTTCAACGGAGAATGAGAAACAGTAAAATTACACGGACTCTCTCCTGAAGCCCTCTCGTCGTGGCCAGCAGACCTCGACATTGGCATCTAGCTCCTGAGCATATTGCTGCTGCCATCATACGCAAGAACGTAATATGTGAAACGGTGTATGTATGAAACAGCAAACACAAGAGCAATCTCAGCATCGTTTGAATGTCGTGGTGACTTGATTATTTGCGTGCATGTTCTGCACATAGCCGTATAACAACTACTATATTTAAAAAAAAAATTACATTTTTTTGACAAACATTCCACCTGAAACAAATTCAGAATAAAGGGTGATTGTCAAACCATGATTTGATCCAAAGATTTAGGAATTTATTAAAACTAGAGATATAGCCTGGAATAATGCAAAAACAACAAACATCTCCGATTGGAGTACCTATACACCACTAAGAAATAGATGTACTCGCCAAATAAGAAACGCCAAATGTTCATTTTATCATAAAACTATTCTCAATTCACAAACAAATCCAAGACTCTTCGGGCAAACGTTTATTTAAGAAAACTAAAATGTTCTACAAAAAAAGCTCTGACCTAATGGCAAAGAACTGCTCACAAACAAGTCATTGTGAATTGATTTAATGCTCGTTTAGGATCAGCATGACATATCTTTGACAAACTCACATCAGAGTAAAAAGTCTACAAATACACAACCGTTCACATCACTCACTTCTTCCTCCTCCCCTAAGCACCAACGCTAAACATGTCAGTGAAAGTCTTCGGTTCTACTTCTAGTTTAGTCCCATATCTGCACTGGATGTACCGCATACGCTTGTGTAGTGTTGTAAGGACGAGCAGACTTCTTTAGGAGGCACACTCTGTTTATTGTATTATTTCCTTATACAACGCTTAACACACACAGAGGGATATTCGGTCCCCTCACCCGATACCCTAGGGAGGTACAGCCTCCGGACCTGGCGGGACTCTCACGTCTACCGCTAACCTCCTTGATACCTAAGCAGGTACAACCTCCGGACTTGGCGGGACTCACACGTCTACCGCTATCCTAGTCCTCCGGCTAGGACCTAGGGGAGGCTATCTGACCCACCGCTGGCCCGGTGGGTCCTGACCACTGGGTATGCCGAGCCTTAGCCCTTAGAAGGGCTGAAAGGCTGGTCCAGGGTCCTATCTAGGCTTCAGCCCAGTCTTCTGTCTTCGTGCAGGGAGAGAACTCCCCGAGGTCCGTTGGGTCACCCGTCTTATACCCCTTCGTGGCCAGGTAGAACCAATCATACATTCCCACGTGGAACCGTCTGATTGGTTCGCACCAAACCCTGGCCACGATCCGTTTCACCTCGACTGACCCCAACCGTTGTACCCAGGGGTAATGCTGCACTGCCCTGGTGGCAACGCAGGTTATGCAACAGCGCGTAGTTAACACCTCTACACTTGCATCAATTACGACATCGTCATCCACGGGAGAAGATGATTTACCTGCATTTGTATTTGCGGCTGTGGCAGATCTCCCCTCGCACACATTTTCAACCTCTCACTCACTGACGGTATATTCCCACTAATTGAATTCGCTATTATTCATCCAGTATATAAAATGGCTCCAAAGAAGATCCTAATAATTATAGACCAATCTCTATCCTTTCACCAATTACTAAAATATTTGAAAAAATGACAAAACTCACAAATAAACTGCTACCTCAAAAGTCACAATCTCATTCACAGAGAAAATTACTGCACCACCACAGCTATGATGGATTTATGAGATTTTCTGTTCAGTAACCTTGATAGAGGCCACTACTGCTGTGCCCTATTATTTGACTTGTCAAAAGCCTTTGACACTATTAACAATTATATTCAATTCACAAGACATAACGATAACATCTCGTCCACAAATAATAAAATAACAAAGGGTCTTCCACAAGGTTCTGTGCTGAGTTCAATTATGTTCTCCTTACATTTAAACAATCTTGGACTAACCTTAAATCATTGGGAATTACCAGTAAATACCTTTGCTGATGACACTGTCATGCTTGTGTTGGGTACATCTCCAAACGAAGTCAAACAGAATCTCCAACACGATTTTTACTTAATTCGTTGATTGTTATCACTAAAACTGCTCCAAAATCCCCAAAAAGCGAAGATCATGCTATTTTCTTCAAACAATAATCTAGTTTCATTCCCTTTACTTATTACAGATATCAGAACATCATGATTAAAAATTTAGATTACAACCCCATATCCATCATATTGATCATATCTTAAAGAAAATGAAATAAAACAGGGTATTTATACAGAACATTAATTTCCCATTCGATTGCGCTTGCAAATTGTTGAAGTTATAATTCTACCACTTTTTGACTGCTCGAAGACTATCTTCGTGACTTTATCGAAAGAACCAAAGTGTATGAATTCCTGCTGTCATGAAAGCTTCAAATCAAGAATGCTCTAAGACTGTTTATAGATCAGCTACTAATAAAACACTAAACAGACTAACCCACTTCATCATTCTACTCTTCGATTTGCACTAGATGTACCATACAGGACCCACCATTGTGATATCTTCTTAAAATTCAATCGCACGTGACTTGATGCAAGAAATCTACATCGGGCCCTGTTTATCTATAACATCTTTATTGGCAAATCTGTGCTATACTTAGTTCATTAACCCTATTGTCAAGGACAATAAACTTAAGATGTTCATCTAATTGCCTTTAAAATATCCCAAGAACAAGAATTGGAATAGATTACAATTAATTTGCCATTGCAATACCAACGTTTTGAAACGACCTCGTTTCCTCTCTTTACAACGTAAATCTTCCTTTTAAAATCCTGAAGCAATTTAGTGCTAGATACAAATCGAATGTGCAAATGTGATTTGTAACTTTGATCCATACCCATGTATCGACAGTTCAATGTTAATATGCAATTTCGAGGGACTGTGTTGTTGTCTTGGTGTGGTCTGGCACTGTTCTTGCTGTTGTTTAGCTGCTTTGCCCAAGCTTGGGAATCGGTGTACTTATGAAATTTGAACGTATATACTTTATATATTTATATTTATTTTAGTGATTTGCTTACGATTCCTATACTTTGCACGCCTATCGTTTTTTGTATTGTTTGTTGTTGTAACTTTCTCACCCACCCCTACTACATATCTGAGAAAAAGAGCTTCATAGCTCATCGGATTTCTCCATGATAAATACAGATTCTGATTCTGCGATCTCGAAAGAGCTGACAACATTCTGCCCATTTTCTTTATTTAGGCAGCACAAAGGGGAAAAAACAAACAAAAAAACATGCGTGGACTTGTGACCCGTTCCCAATGTCTCGTTCTTCTTGGCCGGTGAACATCAAGGACACAGGGGTGGTCATTAATGATTGCATGTCAAAAGCATTGACAGTACTCATGCGTTGTCTGTTTGTTTCTGCTCTGCGATCCTCTATTGTCTAATGCAGTGGGTCTTATAACCTTTTAATGCAGCCTTGCACCCCTTTGGTT